AATACTTCTGTGTCAGTGGAAAGTGAGAGTAATAAATCCTCCTGCGTCAGTGGTCAGAGGAAGTAATAAATGCCCGTGGTCAAAATAATGCCTCTGTCAATGGGAGGAATGGTGTCCCTGTGGCCAGTGGTGTATTCTGGTTTGGAGCTGCCCTAGGCAAGGCAAAACTCGGGCGCCCCCTCCCCCCCATAAACACTACATTTCCCCCACCCCTTCCTATACTTTGTGAATAACCTGTCAGATGCTGGATACAGTACACACGCTGTATCCACCTTTTACGCTATTTTACGCTATTAGCGTTGCAGGAAAGCTGTGGTCTCATGGGGGCTTTGCAGGATTTGTGGTGAGCTCTGTGAGGTCTATGGTGGGCAGAGCCCACCACAGATCCTGCACAGCCCCCTGAGACCCTGCAAAGCCCCCCACAGATTCTGCACAGACCCCCTGTGGCACCCGCAGTCTGCTGGATCTCAGGGGGGCTGTGCAGGATCTGTAATGGGCTCTGCCCACCATAGACCCAGCAGAGCCCACCACAGATCCTGCAAAGCCCCCCTGAGACCCGGCAAAGCCCTCCACAGGTCCTGAAGAGACCTCCTGAGACCCTGCAGTCTGCTGGATCTCAGGGGGGCTGTGCAAGATCTGTGGTGGGCTTTGCAGGCTGCTGTGCGAGATCTGTGGTGGGCTTTGCAGGCTGCAGAGCCCCCTACGGATCATGCAAAGCCCCCCACAGTTACTGCAGAGACCCCCTGAGACCCTGCAGTCTGCTGCATCTCAGGGGGGCTGTGCAAGATCTATGGTGTGCTTTGCAGGCTGCAGAGACACCTACGGATCATGCAAAGCCCCCCACAGTTTCTGCAGAGACCCCCTGAAACCATGCAGTCTGCTGGATCTCAGGGGAGCTGTGCAAGTTCTGCGGTGGGCTTTGCAGGCTGCAGAGCCACCTAAGGATCATGAAAAGTCCCCCACAGTTCCTGCAAAGCCCCCCTGAGACCCGGCAAAGCCCTCCACAGGTCCTGCAGAGACCCCCTGAGACCCTGCAGTCTGATGGATCTCAGGGGGGCTGTGCAAGATCTGTGGTGGGCTTTGCAGGCTGCAGAGCCCCCTACGGATCATGCAAAGCCCCCCACAGTTACTACAGAGACCCCCTAAAACCCTGCAGTCCGCTGCATCTCAGGGGGGCTGTGCAAGATCTGTGGTGTGCTTTCTAGGCTGCAGAGCCCCCTACGGATCATGCAAAGCCCCCCACAGTTCCTGCAGAGACCCCCTGAAACCCTGCAGTCTGCTGGATCTCAGGGGAGCTGTGCAAGTTCTGTGGTGGGCTTTGCAGGCTGCAGAGCCCCCTAAGGATCATGAAAAGTCCCACAGTTCCTGCAAAGCCCACCAAAAGGTATTGCACAGCCCACCTGCGACTCTTTGGTGGGCTGTGCAAAACCTATGCTGGGCCCTGCCAGCACAGTCCACCTACCTGGCACAGGAAACCCAGCCTCCTCCACTGCCTCGGTGCCAAATCGTCTCAGCTTCTTCCCTCCGACTGGAGCCTGGGCGACGCTTCCCGCCTCGTCCATCGCGGACCAGTCTCTGTCCTTGCCTCCTCTGTTGCAGTTTTCGGCGCTCCGCCTCCTCCGTCTTCACCCGTTTCTTCGATCTCGGCCCCCCATCTTCTCTGTGTCCGCCCACTGCTTCCTGCCGCTCCGTCTTCACTCGGCCTCTTCCATCCCCGCCCCCTGCCTCCTGCCGCTCCGTTTCTGTCTCCTCCTGCTCTACCGCCCGCCGCTTCCTCCCCGCAAGGCTGCCGGTTTCTGTGCAGCCCGGGAACTTTTGATCGTACACCGACTGCCTAAATGTTTTGGGGGGCGGCATTTTTGCCGCTCCCTGGGAATCTGCCGCCCGAGGCAAACGCCTTGTTTGCCTCGCGGCAGATACGCCCCTACCTGTGGCAATGGGAAATTGTGTGCCATAATTGGTATTTGCGGAACACTTAACTTGTAGGCTCCATGTCTGGTGCCACTCCTCTTAAGCAGTGAATTCTTATTGCTGGAGCCAACCTACAGCAACAAACAGGCCATATATTGGGGACCACCGTTATTAATGAAAAGGCACATAGGAAGGGGAGTATTTTTCTGGTGCATGCAGCATTTTTGACAGAGCACTGCAAAACATGCGAGTGCACTGCCACATGTCCATCCGTAAGGTTTGTTGGGGTGTGGGACTGACACACACACAATTTTACTGTAAGTATAAAAATCCTAAGTCCACTGAGGGACACAGGACTGTACATATGCTTGGACAAATGGGTTATACTGCCACCTTCAAGTTTGGCACTGGCAAAAAAAAAAAAAGGTTAAGCCAGCTCCCACATAACCCTGCCTGCAACCACCATGCTTTAGTTTTGTTGAGCAGGCAGTACATAAGGCCAACAAACACAGAGGGGTGAGAGCTGTGTCTCTCAATGCATTTTAAGAGAAAGATTGAGGGCCTGTTCACACGACGTCCGTTTTCTGTGCTGACCTGATCCGTACGCTCCTGCACTAAAAATGCATCCCAATGCGTTTTATGGGCTACAGTTCTCACGTGCGCACTGTTCAGGTTACGACAGAAAAAAATACTGCATGTCACATTTTGTACGGTCAGGAAACGGACTGGAAACGCAAAACACATAAAAACACGTCAAAAACGCACTGCAGCTAACATACTGACAGCCCCACTCCTGCAAAACTGGAACGCATCAAAAACGCACTGGATCAGTAGCACCCCGTCTGCAGATCCGCACCTGATCAGGACCTGATATCATGTGAACAGGCCCTGAAGGGTGAGTGCAAAAATCATATTTACTTGTGTCCCTGAAAGGATGATAAAGTAATATTCCTTAGACATATGAGATGCCCAAAAGCAGCCCAACTGAGGGATGGGCAACAGCCACTGAGAAAAACAAAAGGATGTGAAATGCTCGAACAAAGCTAAATGAGAAAAAGCAACAATGGAAATGGCCACTAACCTGGAAGCACACCAAGAAGAAGTATGATGTTCCAGAGCAGGGCAGGTACCGTGTTTCCCCGAAAGTAAGACCTACCCCGAAAATAAGACCTAGCGCTATCTTCAGGGATTTCTGCAATATAAGACCTACCCCGAAAATAAGACCTAGTTCGGTGGTAGGTCTTATATTACAGAGATCCGCTAGGTCTTACTTTCGGGGTAGCTGCACATAAAACTGTGTAAAGACCGGCCGTAGCTCCCGCCCCGCCCACGCGCCAGCCGCAGCTCCCGCCCACATGCCCGCAGCTCACGCCCGCATGATGGAAGCGACATCCGCCGGGACCGGCAACAGCACGCCGCCTTCCGGGACCTCGTCCAGTCCTCCCCCGAAAATAAGACAGTGTCTTATTTTCGGGGAAACACGGTAGCACCACTAGGGGAAAACTGCTATCTGAAAATGACGGACCTCAACAACAATGTGGAGAACAACAAATTAACCACCATAAAGAAAATACAGGTTGAAGAAAACAGAGTGTTTCCACTTTTGCAGTCAAATTTTAGAAAACCCCTCTATAGGTTTGTTCCTGTTCACATAACGTACGTAATTAAAAAAAATAAATATTTCTTATCCTTTAGATGTTTTGTTGCAGCAGGCAAGGCAGAAGTGCTAACCACTACGCCACCGTGCTGCCCAATATTTTCCTTGCACATGATTGGATATTCCTTTACAAAGTTTTGGGGGGGAAAGGGGGGCAGCAGCGATGGTACAGGAGGGCAGCGGGTGAATGCAGTCACAGCGGTCTCTCCTCCCCGCTGGTGCAGAGCGGTGGCAACTAATTGATGATGAGAATCGTTGCCAATGATTCTAATTATAATCGATTAGTTGTTGCAGCCCTACATGAAACCAATGCCCCTGGATCAAACAAGGAAAATACATCAATTTACCTAATGGACAAAAATGGACCCCTAAACATCTTGTACGCTGCCAAACGAGAGTTGTTGTATTTTGAATGATATGTATTTTATGTGGGGGAAAACCAAACACCCATTTTGTAAAAGGATATATGGCCATACATACCTTATAACAAACGGAAAAATGACTACTCCTGTGAGTTGGCAGCTTGGTAGTAGCGTTAATGCATAAGTAATTAAATTCAATGGTTTGGACTATACACATGATTGATTTAGAGGGAGCGATGTGAACAAACTACTGCAATGTGAAGCCAAGTGGATCCAGATTCTGAAAACAAAATGTGGGGCCAGGTCTAAATGAAACATTACAAATCATTTCTGTGAGTAGAATACATTGGACTGACAGTTAGGTAAGGGAAAGTTTTAGGTTTGAGTGGGAGACTGCATATAACCATGGGTAGAAACTCCATCAGGGACTATAACCGACTATACTGGAAAAATGTACTTAATTTAAATTTGTATTTTGAAACTCTAAATATCTGTCAGATGTTATATAAAGTAGTTTCATCCATATAAATTGTGATCTTATGCATTTATGTTAGCCTTAAGTTTTATTTATGAGATGATATGGCTATCCCATGTGCTAAAAGCAGTCTAAGTATCAGTATTCCATATGTGGATTAGATGGGGGTGGGGTCTGCCACATCCTGGGGTGGTGGTCACTTTCTGACTCAAGCTGGGCTCAGCTGGCTGTATATGCCAGCCGGACCTAGCAGGGATGCAGTGCAGCAATTCCATAAAAGCAAGCCAGCATTTCCGTGACAATGAGCCTTTTCCATGTAAAGGGTACCAGCATGAGCAGGAATGTTTCTACAGCAACCTATAACATTACAACTGTCATTTCTGCAGATCAACATTCAAAATTAAGTAGAAGCAGGCTTTTCATACATAAGCCCCGTTATGATCCTGAAGACAAAATAAACCAGGAAACTGCATATTAAATAATGAAAATAATGAAAAATAAAAATACACACAGCTCCAAGGGATGGGCCAAAGCGTCCTATTGATACTTTGGAGACATAGCTTGCAAATGAAGATATAACACCTGTAAGGGCAAAGGAAAAACAGTAAAGCAATGTACACACTAATCAACAATCTGTAATCCATAGTTTGTTAATTAACTGGAGAAGTTTTCATGTTTTACTTTCATAGAACTTAAAAGTGTATGTCAAGAGAAAATAAAAAAAAAAAAAAAAAAATCTCATTAGCGGTGCCAGACCGGCCCAGTTTTTCCCCCTAAGCTTTTAAAACTATCCCTCTTATCCTAACTACACAACATAGAGACTAGTTGTTCTGTAGTCCTAAGATAAGAAATGGGAGGGCTAATTAGGCTCCTTGAGATAACAGAACATGTGTACAGGACAGCTCTTAATTAATTTGCACTAATTCAAAGTGGATTTAAAAGGAGAACTATGAGGTGACTGATTTACACTCCTCATAGTTAGAGCCAACGTGTGACAATGAAACTGTCACACGGTGACTCTATAGAGCGGGAAGCGAGTGAAAACATACCATCGCTTATTCACTTTCTGATCATCTCCCTGCTGAGAGTGCTGATGCTGCCTCTAGATAGGCAGAGCCCTCTGTCAATCAGCCAGCTGGGTGGGTGGATCCCGACAGTATTGTCGGGATCAGTCCCGGCTGCAGCCCTCAGTATGTAGCGAGCAATAGCCCGCTATATACTAAAATTAAGGTCACGAGAGGTGGTTAGTATATGTCCTCCCGGGACCCTAAAGCGAACTATGGGTTAAAAAAGGTTACCCGATAGTTCTCTTTTTTTTATACTGATCAACTAAAATATACTTTACTGTAAACAGATTGAAAACAGATTTTAAATTAATCACAATATACACACACACACAAAAAAAAACTGAGTGCAAAAGTATACACCACCTTTAAAAGGCACACTCGGGGGAAATAATCTACTCTGCACTGGTTGTGTAAGTTATTAAAAAGCTGCATGTTATGTGCAGAGGGTGGCTGCAACGGTCAAAAAAAGTCTTACCCTGCAGCACGTGGTCTCCTGCATATAACGGCCAGCTTCCGCACACGGAAGAGAGAGATGAGACTTGAGCAGTACAGTGCTCCAGTCGCATCACCCATCCCTCTTCACCATCATCCATTGACAAAATGTCTTCAAAGACTACAAGACATTCTATGATTGGAAGAGGAGAGGAAGGGGCTTACTTTGGCTGCCTAACAGCATGAATGATGTAGATTCTCCAATGTAAGTCCCAAAATGAACCAGTTTATTTCCAGAGTTAGCATTTCGAATACCCCTGAACAATTAACAAATTTGATTTAATTAACATTAAAAACACTTATGTAGATGGGACACACACAGATTCTTACCTGCGGACATATAGACAGCCACAAATTGTTCCTGGCCTAGAATTGACACAATACTGGAGGAAAATGTCCACAGGACATACATATTTGCAGCCAGATGGAAAAACGAGTAGTGGCTGAATGTAGATAAAGTCATGGGCAGGCAGATGGACTCTGTAGAAAATAGACTATTTAGTAAAACAGACAGTGCATACAACTTCAAAAACATTTCAATTCAACCCCGAACCGCTTCAAGAAAATAACGAAATAATAAAGCTCAACTCCAGGAATAGAGCAGTAAAAGGTCGGCGCCTGTGTCAGGTTTTTACTGTCATCTGGGTCCCTGATAGGACAGGAATTGATGGCAGATCCCTCAAATGGGGACATTGACAAAAACAATATTAGCACAGTGGGGGAATTGTTAGACAATTTTTATTACTGCTGTCCGTGCTTTCCTGTCCCTGTGACTAAGGAATCATTTATTTCAAGCACGGGTAAAGGATCAGGTATTATATTCCCAATGGTCACACAAAAAATAAAAACCACAAATGTTTATGTTCCCCCCCAAACTATAAAATAACATTTTTGGCTGAAGTTAAGCTTTATTGCTCCCGAATGACCTTCACTGTACCCAGATTTGAATATTAGGCAGGTCTCAAACAGGACAAACACATGATGACACCCTAAAAATACTTCTAAAATAGAAACATTCTGCATGATAGAGTGAAGACAAAAATCATATAGCAAGACAAATACTGTTTGCTAGCTACAATAAATGTTTGGAGGCTGTGATTGATCCCTATTGTTGTGGTACCAAGCACCGACTGACAGTATGTTCCACCTTTTGAACACTTTTTCTCTTAATTTATTAGTCAGAAAAAAATAATTGTGGATTTACATTTGCAGAAACGTCCCATGTTTAAAATATTTATTTTTACTTTTATTTATAGAAAAAAAAAAAAAAAATCTGTAATTAATCAAGGAGCACCCAAGCTCTAACACAAGACCACCTGGGCTTGACAATCTTGAGAGCTTGGTCAATGTGTCCATTTACTTCTGAGCACAATTTTGAGAGTGTAGAGCAGCTCTTCCAGATTCATGGCAATCTAGAATTCATATGTTTACACCTGGAAGACATGGATGTATGTGAGGGCTCATTCACACCATATGCATTGCACTGATAAAGAAATGAGGCAGTCAGCATTGCAGGTATTGCTCCCACTATCAGAAATTACTTCTTGTAGGCGTTTTGGATAACTGCCCACCAATCTCTGACATTGACTTGGTAAAACCTTTGACCCCTCCTCCATACAGAATTCTTTCAGTTGCAAGATGTTTGGGGGTTTCCTTGCATGAACTACCCATTTCACATTCCCACACAACATTTTAATAGGATTTAAGTCAGGGCTTTGACTAGGTCTGGCCATAACCAACCATTTCTTATTTTTGAGCCATTCATTGAAGGATTTAAAAGTGTGCTTTGGATCCTTATGGCGCTGAAAGAATAATTTCCAAATTAACTTCAACTTTTAGACAGATGGCCTTATAGTCTCATCAAACACACAGATTTGATGTCAGAGCTTACTCAATGACTACAAGTTGCCCAGGCCTTAAAGCAACCCCAAAGCATAACATTTACACAGCTGTGCTTCTCCGCTGGTATGTTCTTCTCCTGAAATGTGGTCTTCAGTTTGCACCAAAAAAAGTCTACTGATACATCAGTCCATAAAAACAATAAATTGATCCAATCTCTTTCGAATTGTAGATGAATGCAACTTTGGCACCAACTGTTGCAAATGTTACCAGCAGATGCCACAATAATATTCTGGAGTTCTTGGAGACTTCTTTTAGCACTGATCGGTGAACTCTTATTAGTGGTTTCAAAACTACACTTTTTAATGCCCTTGTTAGACTCATAGGCATTTCCAAACTTTTTGGGAAAAGGGCGACAGAGAGCTGATTTGATCCCTGCATGATAATACTGCGCACATCAATGGCAAAGAGAATACCACATCCCAGATATTCAAGGTTTATTAAGACAGACTGCACCTGCATACTTCCAGAAGTTCTTACCACTGGCACATAACCTGGAACAGTAGATTCTAATTTAATGGTGTTGAAGTGGTGTACATCCATGTGAAAAGTCTGCCTTTTCATTCATTTAGGTGATGAAAATTAATACACCACATCAGTTTTGTGTGTCATTGTTCAAGTGTATAAAATTTATCTGCAGCCACTATTTGAATGAAAATCTAATGTTTACCTCTTTGAATATATTTTAAAAAGTCAACAATTTTCATGGGTGTACTTACTTTCACACATGACTGTATATACTTGTATGTTTTTCCTAGTAAAGAAAACACTTACTAGATGCAGGGTTGGATGTGAAGTATCGGATCATTGTGCGTTGCATGGAAGGAACTCTCCAAAGGCAAAATACCAATATGTTAGCTGCAATGATACCTATAGAGAGTTGCAAAGAAAATGAAAGGCAAATGGGGAAAAAAAAAAGACCGAAATTAGTATTTTTGACATTTTACTAGCAAAATTGTGCATGTTTCAAAACAGGTAAGATTGCGGGAATTGGGGTGGGCTAAAATGGTGGCAGGGGAAGTGTGCAGACATGGTCATGGGGAGTGTTAAACCGTTTGGTCAAGGTGGGAGGGGGTACAGGCCTAGTGTTGAGTGCAGGAGGGAGTGGGCATGCAAGTATGATGATAAGTGCAGGGTTGATGCAGGCGGGGTGCTAAAAACATGGAGGGGGAGCGGGATTAGGTAGCTTGGTGGGGCGGGTGGGCCAGTCAAGCAGATGTGGTGATAAGGGGGTGTTGTGACAGACGTGGCATTAGAAAGCGGGGAGGGGGGAATGCTGTTGACAGCAGGAAGGGGATACTGGAAGAGTACTAACAGGAAAGAGCTGCTGGAAGGATGCAGACAGGTAAAAGCTCGCTGACATGATGCTGAAAGGAAGGGGCTGAGGTCAGAGTACTGAGAGGAAAGGTATGCACAGTAATGCGGTTTACGAGCGAGAAAGGTAGATAAATAGCAGCAGTACCGCACAAGGGCTGAAAACTGCCGCCATACTGTGATGGCAGAAATATGGCAGTGAAATCCCACTTGTGCACAGTGTGGCAGTACGCTACTAGTCATGCCCAGGATCTCAATATTGGTTTAAGCATTGCAGAGTGCGGAAACATTGGGAGCGCGGGAGGGACAATAACCTATGCCTGTGTGGGGGAACGTAAACCACATTAATGCGCATGCATGGAACATACTGCTTTAGGAGAGTGAGGGAGTAACTGTACACTATGCATGACTGGGAATATTCTGATGCAGGCAGTGTTTATTTACGACGTGAATGCGGCCCCTGCACCATTTTGGGTCACCATTATGACAGAACCCTAGCTTAAAGTGTACTTCCACTTCTGCAGCCAAATTGGGATAACACTTATTTTAGATGTGTTACATGTTTCTCTTCACATATCTTAACATAATGAAATTGCTGTTTGCCCAAAACAAGCTCAGTTTTGAAAGAAAGTTGTTCTCTGTACTGAATCTTCCTCTGTAGGCAAGGGGGCTAGGCAAGTTAATGTTAACAAAATGAATCCTGTCTGTACCAAGCTGGCAGATCTCACTATCAGTTGTAAACTAGTTTTGAACATTGTCTGCTCCAACAACAGGTTAAAGATTACGACAAGAATTATATGTTAATGAGGGGGGAGCCAAGTCTGTCGCTAGTCTTTCTATAGGGACCGTCAGAGTTTGCTGTAACTGAAACTGAGAGAAGCTTGAAGAGGCCTGAATCTAAAATCTGAATCTATGGGCAGCACAGTTTGCATGTCCTCCCTGTGCTTGCGTGGGTTTCCTCCGGGTATTCCGGTTTCCTCTCACACTCCAAAAGACATGCTGGCAGGTTAATTGGCTCCTCTCTAAGTTGGACCTCTAAGTATGCATGAGAGATAGGGACCTTAGATTGTAAGCTCCTTGAGGCTAGGGACTGATGTGAATGTGCAACTATGTAAAGCACTGCGTAAATTGTTGGCGCTATATAAATACCTGTAATAAATAAAAGATAAGAAATAATATTTTTAGATGTGGTGTGAATGGGAACACATAACATAGTAGGATCTTCTCAATTTGTCTGCAAAAGAGGAAATAAACTTTAAGACAGAACGCCAGCACCATCTTCATGAAGTCTAACTCCACATTTTATCTTCACTTTCTTTTACTTTGCAATTAAAATGTATTAATTAAAAAATGCTTTACTTCCAAATAACCTACTATAGTATTATTTAAAAACATACAATCTGTAGATCAAGCTGAAAGGAGGAAACTAACTACATATATTACTTCCTGCGCTTTACAATTAGAAGATACAGTGGGGGGAATTTATCAAAGCAATTGCAAGTTTTAGCCTCTTAGATCATTTTTTTTAATGTGCAAATCTATCTTAACATGTGCCCCTGTTTTGAACCAGAGCTTACACTACTTTTCCAACTGCGCGTGTTTTGCACCTGTTTTTATCTGCACTTGTTCTGCGGCTGTCTGAAACTGGAGCATCACCTAACAAAACAATCGCAACATATGAAGTCCCCATGACCACTTCTTCAAGAAGCGACAGTTAAGCTTTTTGCCCGGAGTTACAAGTCTTCTTTCCTGGAGTCTAATAAACATCATGTATGAGCAACATGAAACTAGCATCATAAATCTGGCGCAAAGTGCATCAAATATATACACTCGCAATTGCTATGATAAATTCCCCCCAGTGTTTAGAATGTGTTTTGGTGGAGCTTGGTAGGAACCATGTTCACTCTTACCTGACACAGTCTTCTGTCCCTCACTCAGACTGTTCCACCATTCATTTACCTAAGGAGACAAATGCACAATCTACTGTAGCATCACATCTCATCAAAGCCATATTTTATTAGCAATGCAAAGCAACTAAAAATGACAAATCGACAGGGTCTATCGAACATTGACCACAGAAACGGATAGCCTGCCAAAGGGCCATCATTAAAAACATTATTTTAACACTAAAGACCACCTGTTAAAAAAGCAGCTTGCGAGTCCTCTGAATTTTGCTACCAAGAATTCTTCAATCACTTATCACAACATAATGCATTAAACTGCCTGCAGCCACCACCAAATCTTAACCCCAGCCAGTCACCTAAAGCAGATACCCAATGGAGGGCTGAAGCAGCTCATTGCTCTTCCTAGTCCTCTCAGAAGAACCCGTCTCATTGCTCTCAAACCTGGCAGCTTCTTGGCATATAAACCTTCTGCTCAGTCCCCACTGGTGGACAATGAACAGCAAACATACACCGCAGCCTTTTTCCATCTATGGTAACACACCTTGTGGGTGGTGGAGATGCCCTCCCTCTATAAATAAGCAAAATGTCCTGGCATTCTATGCTATTCACTTCCTAGCGTTACTATGGTATATTCTATTACCATAGTAATGCTACCTACACCTGACAGACCCGCATGGATGGTCTACTTTAGGCATAGACTACTACTTAAAAGGAGAATTGTGAGGCGAGTGATCATCACTCAGCCTCATAATCTGAGCCGACCTGTGACAATGAAACTGTCACAGGCCGGCTCAGTAGATTGGGAAGTGAGCGAACACATACCGTCGCTTGCTCACTTCTCGATCTATCCCTGCAGAGTGCCGTGAGTGACAGTCACTCACGGCTCCCTGCAGGGATCCCCCCCGTCCGATCCTCCAGTGCTGACTGGCAGAACGGACAGGGGAGGGCACAGCTGGCTCTGCCTCTAGATAGGCAGAGCCAGATGTCACTCACGCAGCTGGGTGGATCCAGACAGTCAGGATCCGTTCCGACTGCAGCATCTCAGTATACCGCGAGCTGTAGAACTCTAGTTTGTATTCTCCCGTGACCCTTAGGAGAACTATGGGGAAAAGACCTGAGCCCATAGTTCTCCTTTAATGTCGACATTAAAATCTTGGCCATAGTGCTGGCTACTAGGCTGAATTCCTTTTTTAGGCCTGATCATTCATCAGGTGGGTTAGATGGTAATATTACGTCGCAGGCAGAGAACGAACCACTTAAGCCATATGATCCAACTTACTAGCCTCAACCACACATGCTCGCTTAAAACTATGCTATTGTTCCTAGACTTATACAAATCTTGCGATATGCTTTCTTTGGAATATGTCATTTTTGCACTATACAAGCAGGGCTTTCACAACATTTTTTTTTTTTTTACATGGAGCTTGGCTCTTAACTCAACTCCATTACATGTGGCAGCTATTCCTCCAATGTCTTCCAAATCCACAGAGGCACCAGAGAGGGATGTCCCCTCTCACTAATATTTTTTCTTCGGCCTTGATCCTCTGGTAGTGGCCAATAGAAATATTCTGAATAACCAAGTAGTGAAAATTGCAGGCATGTACCATAAAGCTTTAGATTATCTCAGCAAACCCCACACTACCCTTTCACTTGATCCGCATACCTTTCTTAAATGTACAAGTTAATATGCATTCACATGGACATTGAGACTTTTGTAACTGGGAGTCTAACTATCCTCTGCCCTGATGAAGGGACTCTCCTGTGGTCCCAAAACATTCGCTATGTGATAAATTTGCTTAAATAAATGAATAATAAGATTTGAACATCGTCTTCTGAGTGCTGGTGATCCTCACTCCTCATTTCCTACAACCTGACTTGGCTCCCTTCACCACACTGCTTTAAGATACTGGATCCAACCTTTAACTATTCCATGAAGATGTGGGATGCCATAAAGTTCTACAGGCTTTTATCTCTATATAGAAAAAGAATACTCCTAGACATGGCAAAATGGGAAAGTGTTCCTGTTTGCTCATGATAAACAGTCTCTGCCATGTAGGGGACAAATGAGAAGGCGAGTAGGGAGCAGAAGCACCACTGCTCTGCTATGCTGCTCAATGCTGTCAGTTGCCTTTACACATATCTGCACTTGTAGAGATGCAGCTTTCCTTCATACTACAATGCTGCAGTGATGACAGGGGTCCTCCCATGTTAAACTTCATAGTCCCACCCACACTAGCTCTAACTGGGTACCCTACATATACAGGAAGACATGTAGGGTGCCCCGTCCGCTCCTCCCACCGGCTCTAACTAGGAATACTTTTTTTGGAAACCCTGTGATGATGTTCCAGGGTTTAAAAGTTAAAGGTTTCTATATTAAAAGGTCAGGTAAAAATCTGTTTAATTTAATTTAAAAGGGACAATGTGGGGAGCTTTAGAAAAGCTATTTTTGTTACCCGGAGTTCAGTTTTAATGGTAGTGACAGACCACATCATATGTCGTTGTTTGCCCATAGATCCACTTTATGGCCAGACAAGGTCACTTGCCCCTCATAGGGTCTCACAAAAGGATGGTCGCAAGTGAAAGGTGGAATAGTGCCTGAAGAATCACTCCACTTAAAACATGCCACGGTATCCCTCATACGCTGTTGACTACAATCAAATGTAGTATCAGGTTGAATACCCAATTAAATCTAGCATTCTAAGAGCTTTTCCCATTGAGAAAACAGCCAAATAGTCATCTTCACATTCAAATTTCCTGAAAAAAGGGTGTTATAAGTAAGCTAAACTCCTGCATATAATCAAGAGCACTGAAAGGGCTCTTTACCTTTGTGCAGCTAAAAATTTTACCTTTCTGGTATTACAGCAAAATCTGAAAGATCAGAATGAAAGTAAACCTGTCACAAACCTGGGAAACCCAAACTGAGCATGATGATATAAATTAAACGCAGAACCAAAGGAACACCTTCAACAAGTTCAACTTTTTCTCTATGAGTTAAGCTGGACCACACCCCTCAAATTTCTCATGCTGCCCTTTAAATGGGATGGATGGCCTAACACACAGGTGGTAGAAGGAAAAGCTCAACTTCTACAAAAGAAACTTAAAACTTGCATATACTTTCAATTGGTTATATCTTTGGTTCTATTGCTTGCTGAAACATGCAGTGGACATAACTTTTGCTTAAGCATTTTTTCATCTGTATTAATTCCCAAAGCTTGTGCTTTGTTTACAATAAGACATTAACAGTTACTTGGAGAGATAAGTAGATATGCCCCTGGAAAAAAGGATTTGCTTGTTTAAAGATGGTTATACTACACCCCGGGAAACCTCCCCCCTCCCCCCCCCCCACAATGTCAGTACTTACCTTAAATGATGTTTCTTAATCCAATCATCTTCTTTCTTGTACTTTTCATCTGTCCCTCCAGCGTTGCGGCGGGTTTCCGATCCAGCACCGACTCCTGTCCTTGTGCTGGCACTTCCTGTCCCACGGTGTCTGCATGCGGGTGCACGCGTCCATAGACTTACCTTGTGTCTCTCCTCGCGTCGCGGCCGAAAATGTGATCTGCTTTGTGGCCGCCCCCGAGAATTTTCAAATTTTCGGACGGGAGCGTGCGGGGAAGACACAGGTGAGTATTAACCCTTTTCAAAGCGGGTTTTTTTGGTTTTTTTTACACTTTTTGCATACATCTAGTGCTTGCTAGCAGTAGATATATGCAAAAAAACTGGAGGGTTTAATTATCCTTTAACTCTTTTCACAACATTTGTTTTAACTGAAACATTAATTTTCTGTGTGGCAACATATTGTCCACACCATGTCACAGCCACAAAGTAATACATTTGGCAATACAGTACATGCAATATGATCTAAACAGTTACAAGAATAGAAATTGACGTACGGAAGATACAAAACGGAAATTCTTGCGTTCACTTAGCAGACTCACATGTTTGGAACATGAAGCCATAAAAAAAAAAGAAAATAACTAAAACAATATTATTGAAGATAAGGCATACCTGCCCTTTACAGAGGGACTCCCCTACTTTACCTCCTTCCTGAAGTTCCCTTGCTTTGGAGGCCTTATCTTCTCTAGCCAATCTGCTCGAATATCTTCAAAGTAAGTTTTCATACGATTTTTCAAAGATTCATACTGCCAAATGGCCGCTATTCCAAAACAGCTACCTGAAAACTGATCAGTCATATTCATCATAATCTGTACAGTTGTATACCCAACTATATACACACACACACACTTCAAAAATCAAAAACCTGAACACAACAGTTCCCCATGGTCCCTGTGTGTGGTGTAAAGTAGCACCTCAAGCTCACTCCTGTGATGTACACATGGTGACTACTTTATAAACACAATGCAATATTAAACTTGCTTGTCGCACTCCTTACCGAAAGTCCCTTGCAATGGGGGCGAGTGCTCGCAGTGACTGCTGATGGCGCCACCAGTATTCAGCAAACATGTACGTACAAGTGTCACCAGCACACCAAAACCCTTTCAGGATCGTCAATGTTAAGCCTGATGAAAGGACCCTGTGCGGCCTCGATTACGCTTGTTCTATGATAAGAATCTTCAATAAATGAACATTTGGTGATCCTGAAAGGATTTTGGTGGGCTGGTGACATTAATACATGTTTACATTACAACACACACAGGGACCATGGGGAACAAAAGTAGCCACCGACCAGAAGGAAGGACAGTGTCAGCACCAATTCTGAGATGATTTGAGGATCTATAGCCGAGTGATACACAAATAAGATACGTTTTTGCTAACAAAGAGCAATTGCCCTTTTGTTGGGGTGGGGGGGTGGATCAATCCTCTCTGGGTAATTAATGTACATTGCAAGGATTTTAACCAACTTAGTTGCAGTTTCCTACCCATTCCTGTTCTGAAGAAAACGCTGTTTGTTGAGCGTGTCACTTCCAAACTGATCCCTTAATAGGAGGGTCCAGGTACATTATAACCAGTTGGTGGGCTTCCTGGATTTATAATAGGGAAGGTTGCAGTGTCTGCATCCCTTTAGTTGTAATTAACCCATAGGGAGTATCCCCCCAAAAATGAAAACCCTATTGCAAGGGATGCCAAAAATTGTACTTGTACCTTAGTGCACATTTTTGGGAAAATTACAGAAGCAGGAAGTGACGTTTCTGGGGGTGTTCCTTACACCAAGTGTGTACGGAACACCCCCCTGGTCCACATATCGCATTGAATTTTTGTGGCAGTTTTAAAACAGAAAGGTCATTTTTAATAACATTAAATTACAAAATGGCTTGTGTGACAATTATATATGCTACCATAATTTAACCACCTGCTGTCCGGCAGTTTTAATTAAACGGCCTGATGGTGGCTTCTTGAATGCGGGTGTGCGTTTTTAGACGTCCTTTCCCTCCCTGTTCGTGTCCGGTGCTAGGTGGCACGCATGAGCTGGAAATCTTCTAGAAATGTAAACAGCCAGCGATGGCTGTTTGCATACAAGTGTTCCGGTGTCTGTGGAGACGCCCGATCGCTGATCCCGCCCTGTGACAGGCGATCAAAGGGAGTTCAGTACACAATCCCTCTCTGATCTCCTCCCTGTTCTCTGAATCCAGGAAGTGATGTTTATTACATCCCTTCTGCATTCAGCTGTCATTCCCGGCTACAGAAGCTGGTGAGAAGCAGATCTCTGCTTCATCAGCTTCTCTGGGGGTCGCTAGGTGATATTAGGGATTTGAAAGACCCTGATGTCTCCATAAAGAGGATCGGTCACTGTATATTAGCCATCACATAGGGGGCTTGTTTGTCCAATTTACAAAAGGATAACAAGATCAGCCAGCACAGTACAGACAGGGTTAATTATGCAACATCTCCCCAACCCCCAATGAGGCAAACTACATACAGTACTTTGGCCTATCTTCCTATGTGCTGTCTAACACTAGCTGCATGGTTGGACAGGTCACCCCTCCTGCACTCATGGCCATCCAACAATGCAGTAGTGAGGGGACATGTAATAATCAGCACCGAGACAAGCGCCATTGCATAGAATGCAGGGGGAGAGAGGCATGAGGTCAGGTAGAATGTTGAAGGCACAGCTTACAGTCTGTACTACACAGACATGGGCTGTCCATGGCAGGTGGAACCTGGGGTGTTAGAACAGGGCTTCAGCTGTTACACTGTCCGCGGCATAGGGTACATCTACAAGTTTATTCTCCACATCCAAATGTTTACATTTATGTATAGGATGCACGCTCACCACACAAGGGCCCGCATGAGTAACACCCACAAAATAGGACTCTTCATGGGGAGGATCAGAGATGAAAGGATTAGGCAAAAAATAGACACTTTTAGACAAGAAAATTATTGTGGTTCAAACTAAAAAGCATTCAAAAGGTGTTTGGCACATGATTTTCTGGCCCGTTTTATTTTTGAAGTTTAATGAGATTAGGAGGGGGAGCTAGGTAGGATTTTAAGTAAAAAAACATTTTTAAAGTTATGCTATGTGAATGGTAACCATGCTAAAAATATACAGTAGGTGTTAACCCAATTTAGCTGCAAAAGTGGAAGTACACTTTAGGTTTACAGGTTTGCTGTGCTAAGTCAGTAGCTACCTTAACATCACTCTTGCATAATACACTAAAACCTTCATAACAAAAGGGGGGGGGGGGGGGAAACATACCCCAACAGTAAAAAGAAAAGGCTTGTAAAGTTGCTTCAGTATGTGGATACGAGCAGGGTGAACCTGTTCTGCTATAGGAGTAAAACTACTTTGACTTGTGGTCTCTTGGCTGTTTTGAAGCTCAGTTTCAATTTTCTCTGGTTTCTTAGATGCATGTTTGAATCCATTTCTTTGCTCAAAAAGAACACTATAGAAAGAAATTTAAAAAAGTTAACCAGTCTCAAAAACTATTCTTAAGTAACTATTTCACTTTTTTTTTTTTTAAAGTTTAGCTCTAGACAGATATAAAAAGAGACAATACTGCAGCTCTGGATTCATTAAAGCGGACCTTTACCCTCTTTTACTAAAAATCACTGCAGCATGCAGCTCTGCATGCCGATTTAAAATCATCTTACATTCATTAACAACCTGCTGTCCGGCCGTTGTAATTAAACGGCCAGACAGCGGCTTCTTGAGAGCGGGTGGGCGTTTTTAAACGCCCCAACCCATCCCGCTCGTGCCCAGCCTGCACTGTAAACAGCCAGCGATGGCTGTTTACATACAAGCATTCGGGCAGAAGGGCGCCCAACCTAGTGCAGATTATTTTTTATTTTTAAAAGACACAAAAGTAAGGAGTGCAAAGGTACTCACAATGGTAGGTCAAACTACAGCTTGTATAGATGATTTCAAAGAAATAGCAGTTTCAGGACTGCAATCAGCCTGTGTGTCACTGTGTTGTGACGTCGTTGACGCGTTTCCGGGGTCACGCCCCTTCAAAGAAAATAAAAATAAATCTGCACTAGGTTTGGCGCCCTTCTGTCCTTTTTTTGTATTCCAGTTCCACAGTTCCCCCCCGGCTGAAGTGGGGCAGCACCCCTAGCAATTCTATACATATAACACTCAAATACCAGGATCCGTTCATATCGCTTTGACTTTACTATACAAGCATTCGGGCGTCTGTAGAGACGCCCAGTCGCTTGTAATAAGAGCGTGGGTGTGCGCCCCGCTCCGCAGCAGCCGGCGATCCCGGGCTCCGCTGTGCCCGGTGCAAGCCCAACACAGCAGCTCTGTGGAGCTCAGTACACGAGCTCTGTTTGATCTCCTCCTCTTCTGAATGCAGGCAGTGATGTGTATTACATCACTTCCTGCATTCAGTGTCACTCTCCGGTACAGAAACCGGAGAGAAGCTGGTGAAGCAGGTCTCTGCTTCATCAGCTTCTCTGGGGGTCCCTAGGTGGCATTAGGGGTCTTAAAGATGCACTGCGAGGCAGTGCGTTCCGGCCAAAATCGGGCCGGAAAGCACTCCATCTAGAGTGAGTAAGCCCTAAAAAGGTGTGGAACCCATCAAAAAACACCTTTTCTTTTGATTGGCTCCACACCTCTGATTAAGTCATTTTAACGTAAGGCATTCGGCAGAGTCAATACAACCCCCAGAAGCTTTCAGAGCACACAAACACAAATCACTAACTGGCAGTGTCAAGAGAGCTACATTTAAAAATAATTTGTGCTGTTAAATCAGATTCTCCAAAGTCTCGATCAGAATCTGTCATTGATTCAGAAAAACGTCCTTGTGTTGTTGCAATAGGAGAAAGTTGTCCAGGTAATGTAGGACACCTCTCTCTGAGGGCTGTTTCCCACCACATCCAGTGTGTTCTACAGTTAGTGGCCAGAATGCACTGGATTGCATAATTAAAGCCTCCCGCGTTAGGGTGGAGGGGGGCGCCTCAGAGCCATTCATCTGAATGGCATCGCAGCCACGGTTCCCAGCTGCAATGCGATGGCACAGCAATGCCTGAGGTCCGGTGCGTTCGCAAAAAATAGTGCATCCAATACATATAGGGTATTGCTGTACCACACATTCTGGTGGGGGCGATCGCACGGGTGGGAGGCATGGCTGCGTTACCATTGACATGAATAGCACCGGCAAGCCCCCTCTTGCCCCAGAACGCAGGGATGCTTGCTCTATGTGATCCAGTGCATTCCAGCCACTAACCGTGCTGGAATGCACTGGATATAGTGTGAATAAGCCCTGAATGGCACTGGGACCAATATCAGGACTTAAGAAAGTTCTGGGTGAATACACTGCAAATGCAGAGTCCCTATCTTGAAGGACTGGAATCTTGGAAGAACCAGTGTGTGAAGGTATTCATCTTGAAAATCCAGAGAAATCACCCAGTCGCCCGATGGGATCGATAAGATCACTGAATGCTGTGACTCCACCGTAAATTTCTCAATCCGTATAAAACAGCTTAGTGTTTTGAGATCCTGTACTGGTTTTCACCACAGTCTACTTTTCAACATACATTTTGTGGAATAAAACCCTGTGTATTTCTCTGATTCTGGGGCCAGTATAACTGCCCCTGTTGTGAAAGGGTCTGAACATACTGAGACAAAGTTTTTGCTTTTTGTGGATCTCTCAGTATTGTAAACGGAAGGTAAGAGGATGGCGGAGGATATTTTCTGAATTTCCAGAAGTTGTCACTGGAAACTGTGGATAAATCTCATTGATCTAAAAGACATACATCAAGGATATAAAACTTCAAGAAGTATCTTTGTATCAGATATTTACTCATCTATACCAATGGGGAAACGTCTGTATACCAAAATGATAATGGAAAACTTAAAGTTTGACCTGAAGATGCCATTTAAATAATGTACTAATGCGGCCTTACAATGCACAAACATAAATGCAGACCTTCGTCCGTGACCCCAATTCCTCCTTGTACACGCCCGCAGCATCCAACACGCTGAGGTCATCGTGGTCCTCTGACTGAAGGGCAAATTCAAATTGTGTTTCCTGTATGCATCCTGTGCACCTATATAAAAAAAAAAAAAAAACCCCAGACCGTTACATTCTTTCCTAGAACAAAAATATGCAACACACATTTAAACCAATCCATATTAAAGATCTTGTTATCGTGTGTGTATAATACATGTTTATTTCTTTTGCTTGTATTGCTATGACACAAGGCCAAAACTGACACATTGCACGCAAAAATCCAAAATCTTCTCTCCACGTTTCTGTGTCATACCTATATAAACATAAGAATCACTAATCATTTGTAATTGCAACAATTTTCTGCACAAAGTGGTGCATTATCTGACAGAAATGCTGTGGTGCCAATATTTGTGGCCACGGTAGATCTATAGCTATATATCAAAAGTTTTAGGAAGGTGTTAAAAAAATGCTGTAAAGTAAGAATGCTTTCAGAAATAAGTGTTAGTTTATTTTTATAAATGAACAAAATGAACAGAAAATAAATCTAAATCAATATTTGGTGTGACCACCCTTATGAGTGTCTGCAGGCAACGGTGAAGCATGGTGGAGGTTGCTTGCTTGCATTTCTGCCAATTAATTTAGTCAGGATCAATGTTGTCCTCAATGCTGAGAAATACAAGCAGATATTTATGCATCATGCCATACAGGGAGGTGTGCGATTGGTGCTAGATAGATAGATAGATATATGTGTCAAAAAAGACAAAAATGCAGTGTGCAATGATACCTTTTTTATTGGAATTTATTTGCTGTAGACACTGCTGAATTGTCTTTGGATTTTCTTCTGGAGATATTGTATAATGATCTCTAGCATTTAGCTCTCACACTGGATCATCTCTGCATTGTAAAATGCCCAGAAACCAGTTACCCATGTGCATCAAATAATATGTCAAGGACTTTAGAAAATTCAGCATAAAGGGAAACCCAAGCAAATCTACTCACATACACATATGCCACATACACAGAGTAAAATAAAAGGTAAAACGGTACATACATCTATGTTGAATTGATCATAGAGTGTTTACGCAACATTTGTCAGATGTCACCCGGGTCACTCCTATAAAACAAAGGCATGCTGAGAGGTTAATCAGCTTCACTAAACTAGCCCTGAAAAGCTTCGGCATATTAGATCTGAAGCTTCTACATGAACACAGAGTGTCAGGAATGGGTCACTGTCCTCCGTACAATGCTGATGCATACATGAGCACTATATTACATGTAACTTGTACAGAACTGTAGAGGAGACTGATTATTAATATAATGCAGGATTTATATAGAACCAACATTTTGCACAGTGCTTTACAATATAACGGAGACAGTACAATTGAAGACAAGGGGGTTAGTAGGGCAAGTCTTCAAGCAATGGTACATGTAGTTTGAGAGCACATCCGGCAGCATTTTAAAGTACTTTTATAATCCACAATCAAGTTTTGTACACGTTAAGTAAGTAAACCAGGACGCACTGTAAGGGAAAACATCACACAGGCAAGATAAGGTTACCAGACCGGATATTTTGGTGCATCATTCTGTAAACCTGATTGGTCTAGAACATAAGTGGGCAGCTTTAGACCCCATACTGACTCCGACAAACACTCTCACAACTCTCTGATAAGCATTCCCATGAGAGCCCACAATAATGACAACGTATAAAAAAATAAATAATTGAACCTCATCTAGAGAATAACAGGCTGTCAATGGAGATCACACAGGCGCCCCCCAGCCAGGTCACGGTCACTCAGCACAACTTTCCGGGCAGAACCAAAACCTAAACATGTGCCCTTCCTCTTCCGGTACGCGGGAAAATGACGTAACGATGACCTTACGTATCCGCAGACGTTATCTTTGGCTGTGACTACCACTAGTTCCTAGAGGATCACGTGTTCTATCGAAAGAGCCAATTCATCGAAATCTCCAATTACGTCGCTTCTGGTAGCTTGGTAGTAGGAGATTTCGATGAATTGGCTCTTTCGACAGACCACCGTGCTACCTGTACCTGTAGTAGTTGAGTTGCACAGGAGCCCCGCCCCATGACGTAAAGCTGCTTGGAGAATCAGGAAGGGTGCAGCGCTAGATCTGTTAAAGAAGCTGGCGGTGGTCCTCTGTCTCGTTCAGATTCTGATTCAATGTACTCAGTGCTCACGATGTCTATGTGTGATATAGTGGGGGGCACATTGTGTAATGATGTAGTCGGTCTTCATTTCTTAGACGGTGCTGGACTGGCAGGTGGTACTAAGGGTCCTTTTTCTATGTGCCCTGCGTTTATCCAGTGCGGAAAAATGCGGGCATTGCAAATTTCAATGAGCCCTATGGGCCCATTTGCTTCATAGCTTTGTGCTAAACGCATGATATCTATGCATTTAGTGCACGCTATGTGTGCTGTTATGTTGTCATTCATTTAGAATGGCCCTGCAATGCATCTCAGTATGGCTGTGCGTTGCAGCAATACCGTGCTTTGCACTAAAAAAAAGTATTGCATGCATTTCTTTTTAGCAGTGCACGGTATTGTGGCAGCGCATGCTGTCAGGTGCGTTGGGGTCACATTGAAATGAATGGCAATGCAATAGTGCATGGTACCGTGCAATAGCAAGCACTAAACACACTGACACCGTGTTTAGCAAATTGCTATAGTGTGAATGGGCCCTACATTTTTTTAAAAGGGGGTTTAACACAGTAATAGCTATATTATCAAAAGCTACTTTTGCTTTATTTCCTGCACTTTTATTTTTACTACCCTCGCTCTGCTTTCTACCACCCCTAACTAGGCTCCTTCTCGCCCTACTTTTTCCCCACCTGGGGTGGAGGTTCCGGGCCACCCCCTCTGGCCTGTCCCCTTTTCCTGCTTCCTCCCCCCCCTGACTTAAACTAGACCCACCAGTCTGATCACCCCTATTCTCCATGTTTAATCCCCAAGCTCCTTACCTCTCCCTATCCACGGTAGTAGATCCCTACCCCTATTTTCCTCCACATAATTGACTATAAATCTAGCATTGGTAGATAACACCCCTGTTACAGTTCAATGGTCCAGCTCATCTACATCTTACTATGATATAATTATGTATTGGGCAGACTTAAAATAGTATTAAATAGGGATACACCGATATTAGTGTCGGTGCCGATACCAAGTATTTGGACGAGTACTCGTACTCGCCCAAATGCTCCTATACCTTTCCCGATACTGGTACTTCCAGTCAGAGGAAGATTTCCTCTGACCGGCAGTGCCGTAGGGGAACATGGAGCCAGCAATCAGGAAGCTGAGCGGCGAGTAATTACCCGCCTCCCGGATTCCTGATTGGCCGGGAAGCCGGTTCAATGGTGATTGGCCGGGTAGACGGGCCAATCAGCATCGAGCCAGCCGAACAGTCGGCTTGTTGCTGATTGGCTGGAAAGCCGGCTTCCCGGCCAATCAGCTTCCTGGCCAATCTGGGAGGCAGGTCATTACTCGTCGCCCGGCTTCCTGATTGGTCGTGAAGCTGGCTTGATGCTGATTGGCTGGGAAGCCGGTTTCCTGGCCAATCACAATCAAGCCAGCCAAACAACATGGCGCTGGCTTCCTGTGCCGATGGGGACAAGGGGCTCTTCCGCACAACACTGACCCGGTGGTTGTGGGGGTCTATGGACAGGGGGGCTTATTTGCATCGGGGTACCTCTTTAATTAAGGGGGCACCCAGAGCCCCCCCTGTGAATGAGTAAGGTGTACTTGTACCCCTACTCATTCACTAAAGGGTTCAAATTCAATGTAAATAAACAAACCACACTTTTAGAAAAACTCCTTTAATTGAAAAAAAACCAAAGAGTCAATTTCTGACTATTCCTTAATTAACCCCTTCATGACTGAGCTAGTTTTCAGTTTCTGTTCATAAATGACTGACACACTTTTTAAATTTTTGCTGTGTGATTCTTCCACTTCAGTAATATACTTTCTTACTAAATGTACCCACACATATTATATATATTTTTTTAGAGGACAGATAGGGCTATATAATTATATCACATATGTGTACCCGACTCACTTAGTTTGAATAAAATATTTTTTAAAAATGAGGAACAAAACTAGAAGAAAACACTTTTTTCACAAGTTTTGATGATTATTTTTTTATAATAATTATAGTATAAAAAATATATTAGGCTATTATTAGGCTGCTCCAAACTTAAGGACAGCTAATAATTTCCTTAGAGACTGATCCTGACAGCATGTCAGATTCAGATCTCGCTAAAGGTCTTTGATCCTGCTCAGATGATCAGAAGTGATACATTTCAGGCACAGATATACATTGTATCTCTTGTATCTCTTTGCCTGAAATGTATCATAAACATCAGGCTATTGAGCTGCCAAAACAAATAGCAGAGAGGTGAGTCACTCTGCTACCTCTCTGCTATCTTCAGCTGTCAAATACGGGATTGCAATTTAGCAATCCGGTATTTGTATGCAACGGCTTCATTCTTTCATTAATGAAAGAAAGAAGCTTTTACAAAAGCTTAACTATTTCATTAATTAATGTCTCAGTACTGAGGCATTCATTAATGACTGGTAACGGCTGAGAATCAGCGGTTACCGGCATTAGAGCCGCAAATAACATGTCACGTAGTGTACTGGCCAGTCAAATAGGCACTTTGTGGCGTTAAGTACAGTGTACGTCTCCCGTCATGATGGGTGTAAAAAAAAAAAAAAAATGGCTACATCAATGTAATCCAGCGTCAATCATGACGCCCACCTACTAATCCAAATAAAATTAAAAAAAGTCCGAACCTGACGAAAATTTGCCGCAAAATGACATCTCCTGCCCGAATGTAAACAGATGGGTGGAGCGAGCTCTGACGTCACGGCTCACTCTGTCCATTTGACATTCTCAGTTGTCAAATACCACACAGCATTCGGCAGCTCCCATATGCTATTCGTGAGCTCCCAAATGCCATTTGGGTCTGTGAGCCAAGGTGTCATATTAAAAGTATTATGATAATAATAAGTATTGTGATAATACTAGTAGGCATTAATAATAATAATTAGGCATTTCTTACAATTCTGCAAAAGGGGAACTTATTGTTTAAGGAGATCTCATCCCTGCTGCTTTGTCATAATTGGTCATTACCAAAGTGTGTGAAAGTCTCCGTCCTTGCAAATAGTCACAGAATGTAGGCCTGAGGGGTTCTGCAGACCTGAGGCTGGTGAAAGAAGAGAAAATCACTTGTTACACCTGTCCAATGTTTTCATGTGTCCTAACTTCCTTTAAAGGAGAACTATGAGGTGAGTGCTTTTCACTCACCTCATAGTTCTAGCCGACATGTGACAATGAGACTGTCACAGGTCGACTCAGTAGATCGGGAGGTGAGCGAACACATACCGGTGTTTGCTCACCTCTCGATCCTGTCACGGCTCTCTGCTGTGACAGGTGAGGGGCTGGATTCCCCCCTCCCCGCTCCGCCAGCGCTGACTGGGGGAACGGACGGGGAGGGGGCGGGTACAGCTGGCTCTGCCTCTAGATAGGCAGAGCCAGCTGTCACTCACGCAGCTGGGCGGATCCCGTCATCTAGGTCGGGATCCGCTCCAGGTGCTGCGTCTCAGTATACCGCGAGCTACAGCTCGCGGTATACTGAGCTTAGGGTGACGGCAGGATGCTAGTTTGTGTCCTCCCGTTACCCTAAGGAGAACTATGGGGAAAAGCCTTAACCCCATAGTTCTCCTTTAAATGGTGTAAGGCTGCCACATTTTTTCCCACATTTCTGTTCATCTTATAATTTCTGTGGCACTCCCCTGTGCATACCTGTAGGTCAGAGGGACAAGTTAAGGTATGCTGGTGCTTCCTGTTGGGATCTCTTTAAAGTATAGCTGTCAGTGTGGGCTCTTTTTTTCTGGGAGTGGTCTCCTCAGGGAAATTCCTGGGCATCTTAGAAAACACCCGAACAATGCCTGCATCCAATCAGATTGTTCAGGTATTTTGACAGCCAGCCAGCGGGGCCGACTAGCAAGATACTGAAGCTTGGCCCAGTGGGAGATTCCTCCATTCTCACAGTTTAGTGTAGATGGAGGAATCTGTTGCACTTTTTCCGCCTGACCATAGAAAATCTGGTGCATGGCCAGCTTAAAGTTTGACGTATACAGTACATTGTGCGAGTAGTATACATATCATAATCATTTAGTGATAATTTGGTGATATGGTTTGTCAATACATGTCTACCCTAATTTCCCCGGGCCTTATACAGTTCGTAGCTGGGCAGATGCTCTGATGCTTCATAATGGTCTAAGCAGACATGACATGGTGGTTAAGTTTTCAGTAGCCTTGAGACCCTGGGTTTATTTCTCGCTAGGAAAATAATATGCATGGGCAGAAACTAGGGATGTACCGACACCATTTTTTTCCAGTATAAGTGCCGATACCAATTACCAATACCTGTGTCATGTGACATTTTTTCCAAAACAAAACATACAAATAATTGTAGGACAGTGGTGGAGCACCAGGGCCCGGTCCCAGCTGTAACCGCTGCAACCCTGGTAATTCTGCTACTAAAACCAAGCTGTAGAGGGACTACAAATCTCAGCGATACATTATACACCAATGCCGAATACCACCAACTACAGAGGACTACAAATCTCTGTGGTCAGATAACATGATATTGTGGCTGGGATGAGGAGAAATGCTCTGCAGTCAGATAACATGTACCATGGCTGGGATGAGGTGGAATGCTCTGCAGTCAGATAACA